TGGAGGGTGCTCCCTGTGGCATATCACAGTGGAGGGTGCTCCCTATGGCATATCACAGTGGGGGGTGCTCCCTGTGGCATATCACAGTGGAGGGTGCTCCCTATGGCATATCACAGTGGGGGGTGCTCCCTGTGGCATATCACAGTGGGGGGGTGCTCCCTGTGGCATATCACAGTGGAGGGTGCTCCCTGTGGCATATCACAGTGGAGGGTGCTCCCTATGGCATATCACAGTGGGGGGTGCTCCCTGTGGCATATCACAGTGGGGGGTGCTCCCTATGGCATATCACAGTGGGGGGTGCTCCCTATGGCATATCACAGTGGGGGGTGCTCCCTGTGGCATGTGATAGGTGGGAAGGGTCAGAGGCAGTTATGTTCTCATGGGAGAGTTTGGTTTTGTGTTTACTATTGTTCTCTGCACTCAATTCCTATAATCGGATTTAATTCTACAACAAAAATTATAAACTACATTTTCAACTGTTAAAGCATTCTCCATCAATGTTGACCATACTGGTTATGTCAGATGACCTGGTAACTGGAAAAGAAAAAAGAAAGAAACAAAGAAAGGGAGGAAGGAAGGAAGGAAGGAAGGAAGATAGACAGACAGACAGACAGACAGACAGAAAGAAGTCATCTGAGGAAAGTTTGAAAGATAATGCCTCAAAGGTCAAGCCACTGGAGGTCTACTCAGTGACTTTTTGCCTTCCTGAAGGATCGTATCACGGCAAGGGTAAGGGCATAATTAGACATCAAACTTCTGGACTCTAAAGATAATATCGTAGGGTATCTAGGTAAGACATTCTTTTAAGTTGTCAAACTCCAAGGAAAATCATGTTTGCATTTGAATAGGACAGTGGTGTTTTGTTTTTCCCTGTGTGGCACAAAATAAAAATGTGCATTTCTGGACTTCAGACTTTGTGGAGATGAAATCATATTTTTATAAAATTTATAATTTTATTGTTAGCCCAGTGTCATATTGTGCAAAACACATAATATTTAATTTGAGACCCATCCGTAGGTAGCCAAACTCGCAGGTGGGGCAAACAAGAGATCAGCACAAAGCAGAGCTTCTTGGTTGGGGCAGGGGAGGAGATGATGAGGTCCCGGGGCACAGGACACATGGAGTTCAGAAGAGTTCACTAGAAATCTATTTCTCAAGCTCAATGTGGACAAACACAGGCATTTACTATGCACTTGTGTGTGCTTGGTACGACACTACGTGTCACCACATGCATAAACACTTCATGATAAAATTGGAAGACATTTGTTGTGTTAAAAGGTTATGAGTCAGTTAGAAAACAGAATCAATCAGAAGAAACTTTGCAACCTGGGACGCCCTCTAGTGCCCACATCGGAGAAGCACAGCTAAATGTCAGTTACAGGCTTCTCTTCTACTCAGCGTCCTTAAAACACAAGCTTCAGTAGGACAAAGTAAATAAGCACTCTTCCAAACTCAAGGAAATATCATTTTTTCCTTTTTTTTTTGCATAAAAAAGCCTTCTGTTTTTATTTCAGTATCTTTTAAGAATGATCCCAAAGAAAGTTTGATTTTTTTTTCCAGCAAGATTGTTTCACAAAACACTTCAAAATTCAAGTATATATTTGAATAAAAGGAAACATTAATAAAACCAGATGCTTGGTGAACATTTTAAGATTGGCTTTCTCCTTATGTTCCTCCTTTAATTTTTTTATAATGATTGTTTAATAGCAATGATTTCCTTGCAGAATTTATGGAAGAATTTTACATCTGACTCTTTCAGACTTGATAGAGCATGGCAGGTTTCAACAGCCTTCAGAACGCCACATGTGGAAGGGACTTTTCTCCTCCTTCTCCTTCTTCTCCTTCTTTTCCTCCTCCTCCTCCTCCTCTTCCTCCTCCTCCTCCTCCTCCTCCTCCTCCTCCTCCTCCTCCTGCTCCTCCTCCTCTTTCTTTGGTTAATCGAGACAGAGTCTCTCTATGTAGCCCTGGCTGTCCTGGAACTCACTCTGTAGACCAGGCTGGCCTCAAGCTCAGAGAGATCCACCTGCCTCTGCATCCTGAGTGCTGACATTAAAGATGTGGGCCAGCACCGCTCAGCAGAGTGACTTCTTTATAGTCATGAGTCAAAATCAAAGCTCAGGTTTTTGTGAAATAATCTGTCCACCAAGATTTTTAGCTTGTTGGGGGCAAATCTTTTTTAAAAAAAAATATTTACATTAGGACAGTTCTTAGCATAGCCTCCAGCTCTGGACAGATATGCTTAAATTTTTCAATTGAGACTATTTACATAAGTGTACTAAAGTCAAAGATAGTTTTTAAAGATATTTTATAGCTTGACAGAGAGTAAAAAGAATTAGGTAAAATAGATAATAGAAATAAGTAAATAAATAACAGGAAAAAACTCCCAAATTCAAAATTATAGTAAGAGTTAGTGTTACAATTAACAAACAATAAAATATAGCAGAAGGTAAGCTAATCAGAAATTTATCTACATTGGTTTGTGGGCACAATATGTTTTTAAAAGGTAAAATTGGTTAGCATTTAAAATGTTGTGACATGGGCTGGAGAGATCGCTCAGGGGTTAAGAGCACTGGCTGCTCTTCCAAGGGACTCAGGTTCAATTCCCAGCACCCACATGGTGGCTAACCATCATCTGTAACTCTTAATTCCAAGAGAACCTAACACCTTCTTCTGGTCTCTGTGGACACATACACAGGCAAAACACCCATACACATAAGTAAACAAATACTTAAAAAATGTTGTGACTATGACTGTATGAAATCCTTAGTAAGCTGTCAATCATAGAAACCAACGTGAGAGTATCTCTGGTACTTGGCAACTCAGTGGTATGGAGGAAAGAGAATGAAATGTCTACTTCAATTAGCTGCATAAACAAAATACTTTAAAAAATGTGGCCCTCAAAATGATGTTTTATTTTTTTGTCATTGTGTCTAAACAATGCAGTATGAAAGCTACTTAGATGCATGCCCAGTCAGTGTACTAGGTACCACAAGGAATTTAGGGAGGATGTGCACAGTAGGTTTTAGCAATCATTAAACCATTTTATATGGATTTGATATCCTCAAACCTTAACATCTTCAGGTCTTTGGAACCAAATTCTCTACCCCTATACCAGAGGACACCTAACATGACTGCTCTGAGCCTGTGTGTATATGTCGTATACTTTATGGAAGACAATAAGAACTATGGAGGTTTGAAAAAACGTCTCCCATAGTCTAGGGCATTTTAATACTTGGTCCCCAGTCAATGGCACTCTTTGGGCAGTTTAGGAGGTATGACCTTTCTGAAGGAAGTACATCATTGAAGCCAGGCTCTGAGGTTTCAAAGCCTTGCACCATCCCAGTACTCTTTCTCTGTTTCCTTGTGTGTGTGTGTGTGTGTGTGTGTGTGTGTGTGTGTGTGTGTGTACTCTCAGCTTGCTGCTTCGGCTGCTCCCATGACAGACCCTTATTTATCTGGAGCCATAATTCCAAACAAACCCTTCCTTCTACAAGCTGCCTTGGTCCCGGTCTCCCTATTGCAGCAATAGGAAAGTAACTAAGATAACCATAAAAATATTTTGTGACATCTATTATAGAGGGATGTATAGGAGCTTAACTCATTTTCTGACTTCAACATAATGGTGCAAAAGAGGTATGGATACAGTAGAAAGTGTGTCTTGACTTGAAATGTGAATCTTTCCCCTGACCGACTCTATGTGATCCAGTTCTCTATTGGGCTGCCAGGATGCAGTATGCAATATGAGTTAGCCCAGGATTGCAAACAGGAGCAGCTCCAATCCTATATGCATTGTGTGTTGCAAAGTGAGAATAACTTAGGATGAATTTATCTAATCGCAGGTCAAAGAAGGGCTGACTGAGTATATTCATTCTATGGCCCCGTTTCTTAGACTATGCGTCATGATCCATATGCCATTTAACTGAATGTGGGGTCATAAAAGGGATATGGTAATAATAAAATGTTTCTGGACGCACAAGAACCTGAAACTGACTCACAATCCACTTACAATAAATCTGAGGTGGTTCTGGCAGTGTGACCTGTGTGTCATCATTTGACATCACCACAGCCTTGGTTCTGAACACACAACTCAAGCACTTTGCACTGCTCTTGCTGTCTGCCATGTGACACCAACACTCACTGAAACACACAGGCTCAGATTCCAGACAGTGTATGCTAAGACCTACACTGACCTACTGTATAGACAGAGTTTTCCGCTTTCCTAGAAATTTTATGATTCAATTATGAAAGAAAGACTTTTAGTAGTTTCTTACCACCATTCTTAGCACGTAAATATCAAATTAGTATAACTTTAGAATGTACTGTTAGGTGGTTTGAGTTAAAAAAAAAGATTTATTTTTATTTACCCACATATCTGTGTGTCTGTGCACCACATGAATGTGGGTGCTGCAGGAGGCTGTAAGAGGGAATCGAATCCTCCGGAGCTGGAGTAACAAGTGGTTGTGAGTGCCTGGCCTCAATTCTGGAACTAAACGTGGGTCCTTCTCAAGAGCAGAAAGCATTCATAAGCACTGAGCCATCTCTCCAGCCCCAGAATGTTTGAGTTTTAGAATGACTGAGTTGTCTTGATTTTATTTAAAAAGTTGTTCAATGAATTTTCATTTTTGGTCAGTACACAAGTACCAGTAATTTCTGCCATTTTATAGCTATTTATACAAAGTGGTTTTCTCAGCATTGATGGTTATAAAATTGAATGACTGATGGATGACTTGTTGGTCAGCCAAGTCCTTTTACTAATGCTGTTGGCAATTTGTGACAGATGAAGACACTGAAGTCACAGTGATAAAGTGGCTTGCTCAAGGAATTCCAGGTGAGTCCCCAAACTGTTAGCCCTCAGGTCATCATTTCTTTTAAGAAACTCACATTTTTTCTTCATAAGTTTTGGCCCATAATGAGCTAGGCCATTTCTTTCCCTTCCATTTGCAATTCCATGAGCAAGTTTTATCCTTATTGATCAGCAAATAAGTGAGGATGGCACTTACCAACTTGTGTCTGTATAGAGAAGTTTAGAGTGCCGAGGCTTGGCCACGGATGTGATATTTCCACAGGGGTTGTCCACATCATCAGCGTTTGTACTCTGCACATGACCACTGTTACAGTGAAAAGCAAAGTTGTAGAAAACTTAAGATTAGTTGGGCAAAGCAAATAAGGGATGTTTTATTTGTCAGAGTAGATTAAAAGCCCAAGCAGGAAAAAATATGATGACAAATGGCAATTGGGATTAAAAACAAGAAAGGTACGGCTCTTTGTTTTTAGAATATGAGGCCTCTACTCTGGGATTGGAAACTTGAGCAGGAGGGACAGTGGCAGCTGTTCAGGATTTTCTGGTTCAGAAGCTGGGGCTTCTGCAGCCCCAGGACACAGGGTGGATGCCAGGGCATGGGGGGGTTGATATCTGTCGGAGACAGCAAGGCTCTGTGGGCACTGGAGTCTAGCTTGGAAGGTGTCAGGAGCATGGGCCACATTGCTGAGCTGTGAGAAAAGGCTGGAAGGCTGATCACATCAGCAGGTCAGTGTCCCAAGGGCTTCTGGGATTAAAACACCAGTAAGGAGGAGGGAGCCCTGATCAAAGTTTGAGTGTCCCCTCCATGTCCTCTCATCTCCTTCATTTCAAGGTGACCTTTCAAACTAAGAACAAAAAGGAGAGAAGATGGCTGAAGATGAACAATGCACTTCTGCCATTCATAGAGCCAGAGTTACAGTAGGGAAGGACAGGATCGTCCTTCCTGCGTTTCCATGTTCATGACTACAGTGTTACCAACTGCACGTCGTGTCTGACTGACAGCATGAGTAGGAGTAACAGGGTTATTTTATTTCCTAAATCATCCTATTGAGGAAAACAGAAAATGTGTCACTCCTTATTTTAAAATTTAACTAAAATCTGTGGTAAATCTTCGATTAAATTCTCAGCACTAAACAGGCATGGACCAGAAGCACACTGAAGGATGCTAAACACGTATGTCGACTTAAGAGTGGACTGAAGCACATTGAGGTGAAATGAACTACGATTTAGACTTAAGTATGGTTTATTTTAAAGCAACAAGAAATGTCACTTACGTATAGAGAGGGATGTATTTACTCCTAGAACTTGGACTCACACTGAGAAAAAGAAAAAAAAATAGGCAATTGAGTTATTGATATTTTAAATAAATATCAAATTACTATAACAAGTCTCAAATTAAAAGATCTTGAGAGATACGGATATTGGCCTCTAAAATTTTGTTTTAGAAACAATGGAGTGGTTTCAGAGCATTCCATTGCTTTGTAATACTTCCGAATGCCGCCTATCCAACTCCTGCTGAAGGGTGCTTTGGTTGTGTTCAGACCTTAGAAGCTGTGAGTAAAACCATTATGAACAGCTATATACAGGCTCCTGTGGAAGTTCCTGGGAATGACTTTCCATGGCTCCACCTTGAGCGACGCCCTGGTGAGTTTGGAGGAGTGCCATAATAAGAAGGAGCAGAGCTTTCAAGTGCTGTCTCATTTGTTAAACAAACCCCCTAAAACACAGCAAATCCATCAACAACCTCAACAGAAAGATTTAAGTAACATGCCTTCATCAACACCCGGGCATTTCATTCACACTCATACAAGAAAGATTAGTATGAAGCTGAGCTCCTTGGCATAGGCCCATAATTCTAGCACTTGAAGGCTGAGGCAGGAGGATTATGAGGTGGAGGTCAGGTGCCTCAGAAACAAAGCAGAACAAAATAAAAAAAATCAATGATATATATTATTTATAAAGGTATTTGAGGAGCATTATAAACAAGTCTAATTTGCTATGTAGATGCGAAGCTTATTTTTTTAATGTTCCTATCTTAAAAGAATTATCCTCAATTTGTATGCTAAAATCTACACTGAGGTGTGATTACACATTTGAAAAGACAGTTTAACAATAATTCAAAAGTCTTACATATTATTTATATATTTGGCTGAATAAAATGTACTTTAAAATTTTTATTTAAAGGATTTTAAATGTAAACATAATTACATCATTTCCCCCAATCCATTTTCTCCCTCCAAGTCTTCTCAGGTTATCTCTCCAACTCTCTCTTGAAATCATGACCACTTTTTATTTGCTATTGTTACTCCCCTCCCCAAATACATAAATAGAACCAGCTGAATTTGTTTAGTGCTACTTCTATGTATATGATTTCAGGACTGACCACCTGTTGTTGGGTAACTAACTAGGGGACTCATCCCTTGGGGAAACTATGTCTTCCATTTTCTTTCACACGACTTGGTATTTTTCTCAATATCAGGAGGTACAGTGATCACTTCCTGGGACTGTGCATGCTCCTCTGTGGTGGTGCCTGTCTGACTCACACTGTACTTGTGAAAAGCACAGTTTCACCACATTGCCTCTCACAGCTTTGCAGTCATTAGCGATGTTTGTTGTGACTCACCGCACATCAGACCACACACCATCCGTTGGGCTACCGAGGAAACTATTCACACAAATGAACTCGAACTTCATAGTTATGGTGATGGACTGGATCCCTGACTTATACCCAAAAAGAATGGTGAGAAAGACATTTCCATGTGTACCGTTAAGAAAGAAAATTGTCTATTTTTATTACATTTATTTATTCATTTCTTCAGTATGTAAGTTTGAATGTGTATGTGTGTGTGTGTGTGTGTGTGTGTGTGTGTGTGTGTGTGTGTGTGTGTGTGTGTGTTGGGGTGCTACACATGCTTTGGCATATTTGTAAAGATCAGAAGGCAAGTTTTGGGAGTCAGTCCTCTCCTTCCATCATGTGGGTTGCAGGAACTGTACATACAATCAGATTTGGTGGCAAGTGCATTAGGTGTATGTAATCTGCAATTTTAATACAGTGTAACTTCATATTTATAAGAATGAAAAATTATTTTTAATTGGGCAAATTCTAACATTGTCCCCAAGGTATTGTAATGTGAACTTTAGCACTACTGGTGGGACACACCATTGGTTCAACTCATTTGATGAAGAATATGAAAATAACTAGAAGATAAGAAGAGATACCCTTCTTGATCCAGAAAGTATAGACATGAATCGGTATGTGTTAAATCCAGAAATATTTTTACAGCTGAGTATGTGAAAGTACATGTATATTGTTACAACTGAAATTAAATCAGAAACAAATTATGTGAATGGGTAAATGAACTGTGGTATAACTATTTAATGGAATTATATGCTTCAGAAAAAATGAACACCCAGAGAGCCAGAGAGACTAGATATGAATCTTATGAGCACAGTAGGGGATACAAGGCTAGGAGGCATAAACATAAGCAAGATACCATGTATCTTTACAAAAGTTTAAAAAAGGAATCTAATACTGTATGTTGGTTAACAATAGTAGACTTAGGAATCTACAAGGAAGACCCCAGCTTAGACTCCTAGCAATAGCAGGTAATTAGCCTGAACTGGCCATCTCCTGTGACCAGACTGGTGCCTAGCCCAATTATCATCAGAGACATCCAGAAAATGATGGAAACAGATGCAGACCCACAGCCAAACCCTCAGGGAACGTTGCGGAGAAGGAGGAGAAAGGAGTGTAGGAGCCAGAGGGGTCAAAGACACCTCAAGAAAACTCATAAAATCAACTAACCTGGGCTCATAGGAACTCACAGAGACTGAACCAACAGCCAGGGAGCTGTTGAGACTAGGCCCTCTGCACATATGTCACAGCTGTGTATCTTGGTCCTCTCGTGGGACTCCTAACAATGGGAACAGGGCCTGTCTCTGACTCCTTTATAGGCTTTTGGGATCCTAGTCCTCATAAGGCCTTGCCCAACCTTTATACATGGGGAGGTGCTTAGTCTTACTGCAACTTAATATGCCATGTTTTGTTGATACTCATGGGAGATCTGCCTTTTCCTAAACAGAAATGGAGGAGGAGTGGATGTGTGGGTGGTGGGAATAGAGGGGAGCTAGGTGGGGGGAGGGACTGGGAGGAGAGGGGGGAGGGGAGACTACAGCAGGGATGTAAAATAAAAAGTAAGTAAATTTATTAAAAAACAATAGTAGGCTAAAGATTAAAAGACTACATGAAAATGTGGAACATCAAATCTATAATAACGTTTCTGGAAGGAGGTAGACATGCTGTTGGAGAGGCGCAGGCATTCCCACTGTAATTTTTTTCTCAATAGAGGGAAGTGATACACAGAATATATCATATTTTTGTTTATATATTTTTAAATAGGAAATATTTAGAGTGAATTAAACAAGTGTAGACCATAACCAGAGTTGTATCAGCTATAAAGAACAACAAAATACTGATGTTTTGGAAGACCAAACCACCAGTTTTTTTTATACTAATGTACAGAATTGTACATAGGAGAACATCAATAATAAAGCCATAGCTTTAAGCATGAATACAGCACAAATACATGATATGAAAGTTGATGTAACATCATTTAGAATCCCCTTTAGAAGAAGTCCATGGAGTACCACAGCATTGTAACTGTCCACATCAAATTGTTTATACAGTACCATTTTAAAATGTAGTACATTTAATAGTGTTCATTTTGAGGGTAACAAGAGGTCAGGCATTGCCTAGTAACTGAAACGGGATTTGGATTCTCTTCTCCGCCCAGGACCGTTGGATGAAGGTCTCTGGGACACTCTTAATCTAAAGACCCGGCCCCTCTCCTGCCCTCAGCAGGGTATCAGGTTCCTGGTGAGGAGGGTAAAGCTAGCAAGGGCAACAGTAGGAAGGCAAACTTACAAACTGATTGGTTTGACTGGCGCTGAGAACAATCTCGTCTGGAATCTGTCCCAGAGTCCTCCGACCATCTAAAGCATTATGGAGATAAGCAAAAGCTAGTAAACGATCTTATTGTAATTTCATAAATTCAAGCTCTGGTGTCCTTAGCAGGTCATCATAGCCGAGTCTTAACTCTGGGAAAACCCTTTCCAGGCATCCTGGCAATTCTGGGTGGGGTGGGGCAGGGCTTTGCTTCTGAGTGATGTGGCTCTTGGCTCTTTGCTCAAACTTCCACTCCACTCTGTTTCCTCCAAGCTGGAATCTGCCGCGTGTGCACCTTCTCCAGGTGACACGGTTTTTTCCATGTGAAAGGTTTAGCTTTAGTTTCATGACAGAGCCTTCTCCTCTGAGATCCATCGTGGTCTTCCCTTTACGTCTTTGCACAGAGACTAGGTTCAGAGGACTTTAGATATTCAAATTATTTAACATGGGAAATACAATGAAATACCAACTTTTTATGAGATATAAATTTTTTGAGGTAATTTGAAGATCCTTAAAAATAAATGAAGTCATACACAGTTTTTGACCTTTAACTGGTTTTCACTTCTATGTGACAATCCAATGTTTGAGTGTCTATATTAAAGCTATGTTTTTCCTCTTATTATTTCTTTCTCTATGAGAATGGAAGAAATTTTACACGAGAATGCAGATTTCCTAATTGGGGGCTTAGGGACTCCTTAGGGTATAATCGGTTTCTCTCTTTATATGTGGATTTTCTATGCTCAAAAACTTCATTATGAGAAATCATCCAACAGCTGACCCAGACTTACTCTGTGAGCTGTGGCATAGAACACAAAGGGACAAGGAAGCAGGGGTGTCTGAGGCAGTGTTGGGAGGACAAAAGCCAGGGCTTCGTGAATGCTTGGGGTTCATCCTGGCACAGAGTTATTAAAGTGATGAGACACTGCACAAAGCAGGACCCGCTGGGCAGCATGGTGGAACTGGGCACCGAGCGTTCACTAGAGAAGGAAGATAACACAGAACAGGCAAATGACTGGCTACGTGTCTTGTCAAATAGCATGGGTTCCATGTTCTGGAAAAAAAAAAAAACCAGACACAGTCAGTGTAGTAACATGAACAGATCTATACTCTAGAGAAAGTGCTCCAGCTGTAGTAGGGATCCACGGCCAACAGTTGACATGACAAACTCTGACATTCAGAAATGAAACCGATGGTCATCTCTCTGAGAGCCCTCTGGGCTTTGTTGGGTCACATAACCGGAAACATGAGAGAGCAGTCTACAACTCATGGATCTTCCTATTCGGTTTGAGGAGTGGGCAGCTAAATTAGGTCCTATTTCCAGAACTATGCTCAGCATAGATTATCTGAAGGAACAACATCTCTGTGTCTCTTTCCTTATTTAACATTCTTCTGTAATTTCCAAAATTCACAGCCACCACAAATGACTGTGAGGGAGAAGTCATTCAGTAGTAAACATTTTCAGTATGGACAGTGAGAAAGTTGTTTACAGTTACCAGTGACTTGTGATTATATAACTTTCAATTTCACATGGAATTCTTTATGTATACAGTATTCCGCCTGCATGTATCCCTCACATGGAATTCTTAACAAGAAAATTTCACTGTGGCTTGAGTGAAGGCAAACAGTAGGCACCACGGTCAGGCACGCTCACTGACCTGGGTTATGGCGGGCACTCTTTCATATCTTTTCAGTGTGAAACACTGTGAGATGAGGTCAGCAGCCCTTTCCACTGTTGTCTCCTCTGGATCAAGTTTTGGTGGTATCATTTTGTCCCAAGGAACAGTTTCAAACGCTCTGGGGAATTATTAAATAAGGACACATTCAATAAAGAATACACAAAGCACATATTCAGAGCAGGATAGGAAGACCACCCATTTTACAAATAAATTATGTCTTTCAAAATTGATTTTGGAGGCCAGCGTATCAATCAGGTAGGCAATCTATATTCTCCCTCCTATCCCCAGCTTTGTAGTAGACAACCTGCTGTGGCTTCTTCTTCCTCTCTGTCCCCATTCCCAGGGCACTAAGCAGATCCTTGTGACAGACCCAACTTTCCTCCTTCCTATGGACTCTCTCACCCCTCCCCCTTCTAGGTCATTCCCATTCCATCCTTTTAGCTCCCAATACCTAGAAATATATTCTCTCTGGAACCCCCATACCTGGAAGGGTATCAGTAGCACTCCCTACCATGCAACACACAACCACCATACACTCCTAAGATCCAGAGAGGGCAATCCAAATCAAATGAATGAAACCCAAAGAAGACAAGACCTATATCAAACCTAGAATTACAATCATTCTAAACCCAGATGTCTAGATGCCAGCGTAAAAAAACAATGTCAGCTATTAACACAATATGTCTCCACTAAAGGCAAGCCAGACTGCTACAGTAGGCAAAGAAATGCGATATAGCTGATACAGAAGACAAGAACTTCAAAATAGCTATTAGGAATATGTTCAAGGTCCTTAAAGGATGGTATGAACACATCCATTAATGAAACATATGAAAACATAAGCAGTGGAATGAAATAATAAAACAGTTCAAAACATGAAAGTAGAAATGAACTTACTAAAGAAAACCCCAAAACTGAGGTAAAATCAGAAATAAAAAATTTAGGAACTCAAAAAGGAAGCTAATAGGCAAGCCTTACCAACAGAATATTAGAGATGGAAGGGAGACTCTCAGGCACTGAAGACAAGATAGAAGAAATGATACCTCACTCAAAGAAAATATTAAATCTAAAAAAAAAAAATCAAGGCACAAAACATCCAGGAAATCTGGGACACTATGAAAAGATCCAATTTGTGAGAAATGGGGATAGTGGAAGGAGAATAAACCCAAGTCAAAGGCATAGAAAATATTTTTAACAAAGTCATCAAAGAAAATTTCACTAACCTAAAGAAGATGCTATCAAGATAGAAGCATACAGAGCATCATATAGACTGAATAAGAAAGTCTCCATAGTACACAATAATCAAAACACTAAATATACAGAACAAAGAAAGACTATTAAAAGCTGCAAAGGAAAAAGATCAAATAACATAAAAATGCAGACCTGTTAGAATAATACCAGACTTCTTAAGGGAGACTCTAAAAACCAGAAGAGCCTGGACAGATGAGCTAGATGATTCTAAGAGACCACAGATACCAGCCCAGACTACAATACCCAGCAAAACTTTCAGTCACCATAAATGGAGAAATACATTTCACAATAAAACCAAATTTAAACAGTATCTATCTATAAATCCAGGTCTAAAGAAAGTGCTAGAAGAAAAATTTCAACCTAATGAGGTTAACCACAGGAATAAATAACCTCAGACCAACAAATCAAGAGGGAGAAAACAACTCATGACACAACAACAAAATAGTGAGCATCCACAAACACAGTTCATTGGTAACTCTCAACATTAGTGACCTCAATTACCAATAAAAAGACAGAGATTAACAGACCAGATTCAAAAATAGGATCCATTCTTTTGCTGCATCCAAGAAACACACCTTAACATCAGGGACAGACATCATCTCAGGGTAAAAGCATAGAAAAAGATATTCCAAGCAAATGGACCTGAGAAGTAAGCAGGTGTAGCCATTTAAATATCTGACAAAATAGAGTTCAAATCAAAACTTATCAGAAGAGATAAAGATGGACACTACATACACATCAAAGGAAAAATCCACCAGGAGATATCGCAGTTCTAAACATCTATGCACCAAACACAATTGTATCCATGTTCATGAAAGAAACAACACTACAGCTAATATCACACACTGATAGTTATGATTTCAATATCCCACTCTCACCAATAAACAGACAAAAACCAAACAACAAATTGCTGGAGCTAAATGATGTCACAAACCAAAAGAATATATAACAGATATTTACAGAACATTTCACACAAACAAAAAAGAATGTACCTTCTTTTCAGCAGCTCATGAAACTTTCTCCAGAATTTACCACATGATGGGACACAAAATAAGTCTCAATTGATATAAGAAAATTGAAATAATGCCCCACATCCCATCTGATGAGTACAGATTAAGTTGGATATCAGTAACAACAGAAACAACAGGAAGCTTACAAACTCGTGGAAACTGAACAATTCACCACTGAATGAAAAAAATGCATCTAAACAGATATTAATAAAGACATTAAAAACTGTTTAGAACATAATGAAAATGAAAACATAAACATACCCACACTTCTGGGACACATGAAGGTGGTTTTAAGAGGCAGGCTCATAGCACTAAGTGCCTACATAAACATTAGAGAGATCTCAGATTAGTAACGTAACAGCATACCTGAAAGATCTAAACAAAAAGAAGAAATAACACCCAAAAGGCATAGGTGGCAAGAAATAATCAAAATTAGGGCTGCAATCACCAAAATAGAAATAAACAAACAACAACAAAAACCATATAAAGAATCAATGAAACAGAGTTGGTTTCTTGAGAAAAATCAGTAAGATTGACAAACCCTTAGCCAAGTTAAGTAAAAGGCAGATAAAGTCAACTAACAAAATTAGAGATGTACATAACAACAAACACAGAGAAAAATCATAAGAATATACTTTAAAATCTGTACTCCACCAAATCGGAAAAGCTAAAAGGAAATGGATAATGTCATAAAAGAAACCCTACTACACCTAATAAGAAACTCTAAAAGGAAGCCCAGAGGCAAGCCTCACTAACAGAATACAAGAGATGGAAGAGATCTAATCCAATTATTGGCCAAAGGGGGGACCTCATGGCAACCCCCAAAACAACCCAGGCTGTTGACAAGACTATTGGTCATTCTTTAGAAACTGATAGTGAGGGCCTGTTGCTGAAGACAACACCTACACAACTCACTGAATACGGTGAAGTTGAGCTGGCATTTAAGTAGAGCTCTCATCCCACATGCTAGTGTCTTTGGTATGGGAAGGTGCTGTGCATGCTACCAAAGACGAAAGGTAAAAAACAACCCAGTCACAAACTCCTATATCTACAATGACGACCTGCCTGCAATATGAGCTAGTACAATAGTGGTAGCAAGTTTGTGGGAGTAACCAACCAATATCTGATTGGATTTAAGGCCCACTCTGTGAGATGAAGCACATCCGTGACACTGCCTAGATGACCAAGAAGTTGATACTGATAGGACAGGATAGGGGAAAACCAAATGTTACTGTTCTGTTAAAAGAACATAGCAGTAAAACGACTCCTAGTGACATTCTGCTGTACTCATAGATCAGGGTCTTACTTCCTCCTCTTGCTGTACATGGGAACAAATATAGAGACTCACAGCTGGACAATGTGCAGAAAGTGAGAGACCTTGAAACACTCAGTCTTAAGTGGGATGCCACCATTAAATTCTTCTCCTAGGGGTTTATGGAACCCTTGGGTGAGGGGAAGGAGAAAGATTGTAAAAGCCACAGGTGATGGAGGACATCAAGGAAACAAGGCCTTCCAAACACAGCAGGACTGACATGAACTCACAGAGACTTGGCAGCATGCACAGGACTTTCATGGGTCTGGGCCAGATTGGGTAGCAGGGTTGAGAGGGGAAGTGAACATAAGCACACATCCCTAATCCAGAAACTATCTCCAACTGACAATTGTTTTCAAATGAAAAATGAGTTTTCTCCAACAGAGTCTCAGTTGGTATGTAAATAACTCTTAAGGGTAGGCTTCATGTTTAGCTATCAGTGGCCAACACATAATGAACTCAATAGCATTTTTGGAGGTTCTTTGTCTCATAATGCTTTGTCGGGACATTTTTAAAAATAGTTCATAACAACATCATATATGACTAGTAGGCTTATTTCTAAGACTCTTGTCCCCTGGTGTTCACTACATAGATCCTTCAATTTTAATGAAGGAATGAAACTGAAGTATGAAGCGTGTCTGTAGTGTTCACTGCACAAGGCGAGGCAGGCTGTGACCATCACGGAAGCTCTGCTTTCTTATTCTCATCTATTGCTTCTCTTTTCTCCATGCCATACCAGCCATGCCATGTCATTTTTTTTATCATCTACTCTATCTCTTTAGTAGCTTCTAAACATCAGATGAACCTCATAAAGCATCCTTGGACCGTATTTTACTTGATGTAGGTGTATGACATGCAACATCGCCCCTTTCTTCTTGAATTACATTTTTACCTTGTCTTCCAGGCCCTGCATTCTCCTCTCACTTCTGTCTTGCTGGGTGTGCCTTCTTAGGTCCTTTTACTGTATCTTTCTCTTTTCACCAGAATTTTAAATGTAGAAATAGCCCTGTGACTACATGGCTCCTTTAGTGTCACCATCCAGTACCATCATTTTATAGACCTTTCTTGAAGCTGGATCTATCTCTCTAGCTAGACTGTAGCCGAATTTCTAAATGGTCTTATTAAATTCTACAAAACTCCAGATTTGCATACCCTGTTGCCAATCTAAGAGATCCTGTTGGATGGCTAAAAACCATCTTTGTATCAAAGCCTGTCCTTTTTTTTTTTTTTTTTTTTTTTTTTGTTTTTTTTTTGAGACAGGGTTTCACTGTGTAGCTTTGCGCCTTTCCTGGAACTCACTCTGTAGCCCAGGCTGGCCTCAAACTCACAGAGATCTACCTGCTTTTGCCTCCCCAGTGCTGGGATTAAAGGCATGCACCACCATTGCCTGGCATCAAAGCCTGCCTTTGATGCTTTCCCCAAGACTTCCTCCACATGCCTTCACAGTACCTTCATTCAATCCAGCTTTATAGGCCAAAGCACTCCCCCTGTCCCTTAGGTACATTTCCTCTGCTTAGGGAGATATGATGGGTCTGCATTCAACATTTACCCAGAATTCAGCCATGGCTCACAGTCTTCTCTGCTAAGTGCAGCCTTCTCTGAGATAGCATTAACTCTTCCTCAGAAGATATCCAGAGCCCAGCCTTTCTCCACATGTAACTCTGAATACATTAGCCACCACCACTTCTTCATAAAATATCTGGTCTTACCACTTTTTCTTTTTCTTTTTGCTAAGATGAATTCAATCAGAGTGACAATCATTTAAGTGCCCTGCACAGTTGCTCCCTCTCCCCCTGAAGGTTTCTGCTCACACCACATAATCCTGTTGATGACTCTCCACACCTCTTAGCTACCTCTTTCTTTTATTCATGGACTAACGGTTTTCAAAACCTGGTTCTGTTTGTTTTCTCATTAGGTTTTTTCTTACTATCTGTTCCTCTTTAAAATGAGAACTCCTTCAAGAGCAGAGAACATGGTCTGTTTATTCACAGATGATCTCACAGCCTCAGACATAGATATGTTGATATGAGACTGGATATAAGATCCCCTCATCCCAGAGTCTAGCTGAAGCCCATCATCAGCTGACATGCAAGAATTTGGCACAATGAACATTTTCTGCAAAGGAAGCCTATGTAAATTTGACCTTCCTTATAATTTTATATAGATATTTCATGTTCAAATAACAATGAACCAAGCTTAGGGCTTGAATGTATGTGATCTTATAGGACCTTATTCCTTTCCCCGGATGTCACCTGAGAGTCTCAAACAAGACTGCAGTAAAGTCTATCCTACTTTCCTGTAGCCTGTGGGTCTTATCAACTGTAATCTTGCCAGGTGCTCCTGAGGAACCAGCCTGTAATTCCATTCACATGCCTTAGGAATCCTTTAAAGATAATGATGTCAAACCCCACCAAAGTCCGTGGCTATTGTAGAATAATGGGCTTCTAGTCTCCTCTGAGGAGCCATACCTGCACTTTGCTGCACCTTGCTTCAGTGATTCTCGTAGGGAAGACCACATCCATACTGCCAAGTACGTCATCTTCTAAAAGCTCCTTTTTCTTAGATCTTGTGCTTAGGCCCATGTAAATGATATTTTTATTAAAACCTAACTCTGCCTCATTAACTGGCTAGTCTTGAAATTCTTTCCTGTATCTACGTAATGAATCAAAAGTTTCCCTAAGTTATGGTCAGTAAGTCTAGGAGAACTCAGGTTGCTAAAGGGTGACAGTGGGGTGTTGCCAGATGTTTGATCACACTGTGAAACTCTGAGACTGTGTTAATAAAATTAACCTTGGGTCAGGGGGTGGAGCCAGTGACTAGTTGACAAAAATTAGCCATAGAGAGGACAGAGGAGCCAGGAAGACAGAAGGATGTACAGGAAGGAGTAGGGAGGGACTTTGAGATTAATGGTCCTTTTTGGTGTGGGACGAGTGGAGAGGCACTCTTATGCTGGGTCTCCAGCCAAAAAGGAAGATCAGCTGATTGCTTCTCAGCTTCTCTGATCTAGCAAGTTTTCACCCCAACATCTAACTCTGGAGTCTTTATTGGTAAATAGAACAACATACATAGAAAAAACAGTGGAGAGCTTGGCCTCTTGCCTCTGCCCCACAAAGTGCTGGCCGATTGATTCAGTGAATTGTCTTCCTTTAAGCTTTCTTCACCATTGTTATCTGTGTTGTAGAATATTATTTTAAGGGGTGTTATATTAGTTTTTACTCTGTAACATTTGCTTTAAGGATGCAAAGAAGTGCTGCATTGCTTTATGTTGTATTTGCTTAAGTCTGTGAAGCTGTGTTACTGTGCCTGTCTAAAACACCTGATAGTCTAATAAAGAGCTGAACGGCCAATAGTGAGGCAGGAAAAAGGATGGGCTGACAGGCAGAGAGACTAAATAGAAGAAGAAAGAGAAGAGAACAAGGAGAGGAAGATTCAGGGGCCAGTTACCGAGTCACCCAGCCAGCCATGGAATAAGAGTGAAAGCAAGATGCACAGAAGTAAGAAAAGGAAAAAGCCCAGAGGCAAAAGGTAGATGGAATAATTTAAATTAAGAAAAGCTGGCTCAAAGTACGCCAGGCTAAGGCCAGGCATTTATAAGTAATAATAGGCCCCTGTATGTGATTGATTCGGGAAATGAATGGTGCCTCCACAAAGGAGCCAAAAAGAGTAAAGAGTTAAAAAAGCAACAATAATAGTGTTTTTCTCCTCTCCCCTCTTTCCCCCCTTCATTCCCCTCTCTCTGAATGTTGGTTGTATTGACATAGTTCTCTTCTTCCCGCCTACCATTTCTGAGATAGTGTCTTATTCTCCAGTTAGTCCAGGCTTACTTGGAACTCATGGTAATCCTCTAGCCCAGGCCTCTGAGTACTTGGATTACAGGTGTGAACACTTGTCCTCTTCAAGCCCTGATATGTTTGTTATTTAGTCAACATGAATAACTTAGTGCCTTTGTTTGATGTTTTTGAATTATTAATATGATCCAAATCATTTTTGACAATGCGCCATTAAACATTAAGAAATATACTTAAAATTTTTTCATTGGAAAAAGAGCTTACTTCTGTGTTGAGGATTTGTAAAATGCATTCTTTATATTATATTTCTTGTCTGGCTGGACAAGTGGTTCACTGTTATCCTGCAAGATAGGAACAAGAAGTTAAAGCAGACCAAGCATGAATAGAATTGCTATATTTTCACATACACAATGTTTTCTAGATTTCCTTATTCTTCAAGATGTACACAATGACTTGAAGTATGTGCACGTATACATGGTTTAAAGATTAACAAACTCAAATTCCTTAACACATTCATCTCCATCCAAAATTATACTTGGAGTTGTTGAAAACACCTAAAATCTGTTTTTCCTCTTGAAATCCCAGCAAACAGTACTGGATTGTTAGCTATAAACACCATGATATACATCCTATCTCCTGATAATCATCCTTGTTTATATCTTTAAATTGTATCCTCTTATCAACATCTCTCCATTTTTTTCTATACTTACCCCAATGTCTACTCAAATGTGTTGTTTATTTGTCTTAGCATAAGGTTCTAGAGGTTGTTCATGTTGTTGCAAATAGCAGACCTACATTTATGGTTGAAAAGTATTCCATCGTATGCACATATATCCAATTTTCTTTACCTATTCATCTGTAGATGGACACTAGGTAGTCGATCATATTTCATTTTATATATTTTTTCTTTACCTAGGCAGAGGCCAGATGCCTGTAATTCCATCATTCAGGCAATGGAGATTGGAGAATCAAGAATAAAAGGCCAGACTCAGCCACATAGCAAATTTGAGAATACCCAGGGCTACATGATATCTGTCTCAAAAAAACTCAATAAATTTAATTAAAATGAAAATAATTATCCTGTGTATAAATTCTGCATTTCATTATTTTCTAACTTTATATGCTTTAATCTTGCATATATTTTGTTTGATGTGGTCATTTTTTCTAATATCTTAAGATTGAAAAATATCAATTCCTTTTTTAAAAAATCTAATTATGTAAGGCTAAATTTCCTTCTTAGCAAAATCTTAATTGCATGATACCCATTGTTTAGTTTCTTATAAGGCACATCTATTGGGAATTTATTTTCTTCCTTTTTCTTTGATCAAAAACTTCTTTATTTAGCATCCCAATACATTCAAGATATTTGGGTTCCCAAATATACCCATGTTCTAAACTTGGAAAAGGATAATTTACTTTGCAGATGGAATTAAATTGCTTATCAAGTGACCATAGAATGAGAAAAATTATCCTGGACATCCTTATGGTACAATTTAATAATAATTATTAGGAAGTTGGGAGACTGAGGCAGAAGATTATATCAGTCATTCTTTGTGATGAAAGGATTCAGCCCCTCGGTGCTAGCTTTGAAGATGAAGACAGATGCCATAAGCCAAAGAATGCAGGAAGGTTATGCAAGCTGAAAATGTAAGAAATGGGTTCTTTTCTAGTAACTTTAGAAGGAGCACAGCCTCACCAGCACATTGATTTTTAGCTTAGTGGTAGTCAGTCTTTTCTTCTGACCTCCTGGATGGTAAGATAATTTATTTCTAAGCTAGGCATTGATGATAATTTGATGCAAAACCAACAGAAGATGAATGTAGTCTTCATCTTTAAATGACTAAAATATTTTGGGATAAACTCATTGTATTTTTGTCTTCCAGTTTCTGATGACAAATTAAAATATTCTAATTTAATTTTCTTTATCTTATTTCAAGTTTTTTAAAAAATTTTTGGTGTTAGCAATTTGAAAATGATATTCTCATTCTCTATGAAAAGACCTTTATCCTGGCTAGAATTCAGTGAGTCTTTTGCTACAAATGTATGTCTTTTGTTAAAGTTAATGAAATTTCAGAAGTTATTTCTTCAAAGTTTTTTTACTCCCCCGCCTTTTCTGAAAATTTTTGGACTCCAATAAGTGTGTTTGGGGATTTTTCAAATGTCCTAACAGTATATGATATTTTCTGTTCATTTTTAGTTTTTTTTCACCCTTCTTTAAATATGCTCCCCATTTATTTTCAAAATGTCAATACTTCCCTGGTCATATTCTTTCTGTTATTAAGCTCCTGAATCTTTAAGATATTGAACCTTTTAGTGATGTAATTTACATTTGCTTTTTTAAAATACATTCTTTTTCTGCACTATGATTTCCAGTATTTTCATTTTTATGAGACTATTTTTCCACTATATCATTGGTATGGATAATTTTGATACATCTGAGAAGAGAGAACCTCAATAAAGGAACTGATTTCATCAGATTGGCCTGTGGGCATGTCTCGAGGGCATTTTCTTAATTGCTAAATGATGTAGTAGGACCCAATCCACCGTAGGCATGTGTTTCTCAGCAGGAAGGCCTAGGCTGTATAAGAAATGCAGCTGAGCAAGCCAGGGAAGTGAGCAGTGTTCTTCCATGTTCTCAGCTTCAGTTTCTGCCTCAGGGTTTCTGCTTGTGATTCTTCTGTCAGTGATGGACTGTGATGCAGAGGTGCAAGCCAAATAAACCCTTTCATCCCCCAAGTTGCTTTCAATTTGTGTTTACTATGGCAAATGTTTATTTACCAAATGAGAACAGCCATTGAACATAGAATGTTTCATTAATATCTCTACCAAATTTTAGCATTAGAGTCTCTCTTCTCTTGACAGTGTGCCAAATTTCATGGCCTTTTTATGTGGCATAATGATGGACATTATAAATGTTATATTGTAGAGATATTGTACTCAGTAATATTCTGCAAGGGTGTGCTAATTGTCAAAAAATGGGATGTTGATATGATTTACTCTAATGCTAAATGCTCTGAGCTTGTTCTAAGCAAAGCCTGAGCAAAGACTTAATTGTAGTGCACAGAAATAATTGTAGCTCCTGCCCCCTCTCATGTGTGTTCCATTTCTTTCTGGATCCATGACCATTCAATGATCCATTCTTACATATTTAAAACACAAAGAAAGTCCTTTCTGCAAAAGTTTTGACTACTTCTGATTTCTGAAAGCATTCCACCTTCAAGACAAAGACCCAGTAGGAAATTCAGGCTGGTCTTATCTTTTGCTCTAAGTTTTAACTCCCTTTTGAAACATGCCTGACACTGTTCAGTCACCAGAGGGTGTCAAGTAAATGGACATGTATTCTGTCAGGGTTTATAGCTATAATCTGTGGGAGGATTAATCTGTTATACACTTACTCTGTCACACAGGAAGCAAAAGATTAATAATTTTTGATAAATAAAAATTTAATTTACAGAGTTACATTTGATTCCCTGTCATATGTGCCTATCTGTTTTCCTTAGAAATTCAGTTTCTTACTTTCTTTCTGTATTTCAGATTGCTCTGTTACTGCAGATTGCTTGTTCAAGGCACACTTTCCTCTGTGTCTGCTACTGTCCCTTTGTGTTTGGCACTTTTCACTACATTATAGTTTTGAGCATAAATAAGTTCGTGGAATTTGTCCTCTGTCCTTTCCCTTTTGTGTATCTTTTCTATGAATTACTAAGAATGGTTTCCAATTATAGCTGTAGATCTATCCTGACACTCTCCCAGTCTGGGATTAATGTATTTTGAGTTCTGTTATTAGGTGCATATGTATTGTATGTGTTACCATTTTATCAATATAGAATATGAATCTTCAATGAAATTTCTTATTCCATCTACTTTGATGGGATCTTAGTTCCTTCTGCTACTTTTGATGTTTTCTTGTGTGATATATATGTTAACATCCTTAGCATAAATTTACATTTCACTTAGTTTTTTTATTGTTAGCATATAGTTTGGTCTTATTTTCAACATAACTTCTGAATTTTAATTAAATTAAATTAAGCCATGTTTTACATGATAATCAACATTATTTAGTTTAAATCTGTTTTCATTATCTATTTCATCTGCTCTCCTTTCTTTTGAATTAATGATTATTTCTTTGTTAAGTTTTATTTTGTTCACTATAACCATAATACCTGTGTCTCTTATCATACCTGCTCTCCTCAATTCTATACACTCAAATCCCTGCTTATTCATTACTTTCTTCTCTTTAGTGGCTGTTCTCCATGTAGGCTGGCAATATTTTCAGCACTGGTTTTCTAAAGATATCTTTACTTTGGCTTTATTTTTAAAATCTTATGTTGTGGTGGTGGTTTGAATAAAATGGCTCCCATAGGTCCATAAGGAATGGCATTATTAGGAGGCGTGGCCTTGTTGGAGTAGGTGTGGCCTTGGAGGAAATGTGTCACCCGGGGTGAGCTTTGACGTCTCAGATGCTCAAGCCAGGCCAGAGTGTCCCAGTCTCTTCCAGCTGCCTGAAGATCCAGATGTAGTACTCTTAGTTCCTTCTCCAGCACCATGTCTGCCTGCATTCCACCACGCTTCTATGATGTAATGGACTAAACCTCTGAACTGTAAGCCAGTCCCAATTAAATGCTTTCCTTTATGAGTTGCCATGGTCATGATGTCTCTTCACAGCAATAAAATCCTTAACTAAGACAGAGGTTGGTACCAGAAGTGAGCTATTGCTGTGATAGGTCTGACCACGCTTTTGGTTGGAGGAATGTGGACTTTGGGACTGTGGATTAGAAAAGTAGTTGAACAGCTTAAGTGAGGCTTAGTGGGCCATACTAGTGGAGCATTGAAGAAAGTGGTGTGGAGGGTGATTTAAACTGTGGCGGGGTCAGGGGGAGGCTGCCTCAAGATGTTTCAGAGGAGAAGAATTTTAGTATGTGGCCATCAACTGCCAACAGTCCCAAGAAAGGGGTGGGACCTTAAGAGTTCTTCCTTTTCCATGCTGGAATTATTTACTTGCTTGATCTTTTGCAGTCTTGGGTAAGTAACCAGAACTGCTATGAGTTAATGTGTGCAATGGCATCTCATGCCCGGAGAATAGCATCTCATAGCATTCTCCCCATTGTCTGGCTCTTACATCCTCTCCTGTCCAATGCTTCTGAGCCTTGGTGGGGGTGGGTTGTGACAGATGTCTCATCTAAGGTTAAGCACTCACAGTCACTATTCTCAGTGCTTTGAACAGTAAAGACTCTCTGTATTAATCCCTACCCACTCCTATAAGAAGCTTCTCTGACAAAAGTTGAATTTCACACAAATCTGACAGCACAAGGAAATTAGTTGCCAGAGTAGTAGGATCTCAAATTAGTTTCGTAGAGAACCCAGTTGTAACACGGATAATCTTACATTTGTTTTCTATATCCTTAATTTATTTTTCATTTCCTTTACTTTGTTCAAAAATTGATTTTCCCTCACTTTCTAATTTCCTGAGATGTACCTTGCTTATTTCTTGAATTGACAGGTTTTCTTATGTTCTAACATACACTTTAAAGACAGGTCCTGTCTTCCAGGGTTTATTACAGTTGCCAGGTATACATTTGGCTACAACATTTTAATTTTCATTCTGAACACTTTTTAGCTTCTTTTGTGGTTGTGAATTCTTTGGATGATGGTTCATTCCATAAACACATCTTCCTGTTTCTAAATACATGATTTGGAAGGGTGTTTTGTTCTCTTATAATTGTTCTATGTTCATAGACTATGCAGTTTATGAGTCAAAATGTAATTTGTAGAGACTTGTTTTATGACATTGTCTATAGTAATTTGTATAAATACTCCTGGAAAAAGGTATATGTGTGCATTATTTTTCATAGTTTTATATACCATTTTCCATAATGCTTAAAATATTATATGTGAGTTTTTGTTCCTAGTAGGGTAAGCAGGTGTTTTATATCCATGCATTCAGGCAATCTGTCTTTTAACTGTAGAATTAAAATTTTACGTAGAAAGTAATTGCTGATTCTGAGTTTGAAACAACCACCTCATGTGTTCTTCATGATCTACATGCCTTTGTTATAGTCTTTTTATTTTAACATTGTTTGGACTGATTTTCTGTTATTCAATGAATTCTGTTGTTTTTCTATTTTTTTTTACTGTTTAATCTATAAATTGCAATGTGAACACATATTTTTGAGGATTAAATATAACTAGTGCTTTTATTCTTCCCTCAGGAAAGATGAAAAACACTTCCACACTTAACTTCTGACCCTCCTTCAGATTAATTATTCACTTATATTTACATTCAATATATTTGTGTTTAAAACACCACAGGATAGTTAATATTACTTGATAGACTCATTTATACTAACTGTGCTCTTAATATAGTTTGCTCTTCATTCTTGCCTGTGTCTCTGATCACAGTGTTTCCTCCCTACTGACTAATGAATACTTCATATATATTTTCTTTAATTTTTGTCTGCTTTAGGATAGACTGTCTGAACTTGACTAAACTGTCTTCAATTATTAACATTTCTATAGTGCATTTCAGGGGACTAGAATTCTAACTGGCAGAATGGTGAAGTAGTGATAACTGTGTGACTTGGATTGTAGCAGTGATGGGATTCTAGCATTGCCTACTTTCTGTTATATTCAGAAGGATCTGCTATGGCTTTGGAGAATGACTCTGTTGTTTTGGCTGATTCAAGGCACCTTCATTGCAGTTTTTGTTTGTTTGTTTTTTTTCCCTGGAGATTATGGTATGGATGTCTTTTTATATGCACTGACTTTATTTTTATTCTTTAAATTACTGGATTGATGGTTTCAACATTTAAAAAATGAATCTTGGGTCTGTGGAGATGGCAAGGTGGTTAAGAACAGGTGTTGCTTTTGCAGAGGACTGAAGTTGGTTCCTAACACTGACATCAACATATCATGAGGCTCACAATTGCTGTTAACTCCAACTCCAGGGAATTCAATCCCTTGTTCTGGATTCCACAAGCACCTCCACACGCACCTCCACACACATACATACAAATAAAATAAAATTAAGATCTTAGTACATGAATATTTAGTTCAATCTTATTGTATACAAATGCTATCAATTCTATAAATGACTAAGTACCCAAATTCTAGCAAATCTTATTATTCATAAATTTTTGTTACTCTGAAATTTCCTTTTACAATACTGTCTTATCAAATTAATCATGAGTGTTCTAGAACTCACATTATAAGTTACACTGGTAGTTATTTGAAGAAAGTATCATCTACACCAATGCTGCATGGCAAGATCATTGCTTTAGAAAAAGCACAGCTTTTCTTATGATACTTTCTTTGGGGGCAGTAAAACCCACTTTATTACACTGTAGAGATTATCAGATTGGAATTCTATGTATATATAACAAAGCATAAATCTTTTTGACAATATAAAATAATCACTCTATTTGAGACAATTTGATGTATTTGAATGCTATTCCTGACACAAATATTTGTATCTCTTTAAGCTAATGTTTATTGTATGACTATGATGTATCTATTTTATTTTCTGAAATATAAATATTTCCAAGATAACACTAGTTCTGACTCATAAATTGATAAATCTCAGAGAAAGCCCTTAGTTTAAATATGAAAATGGCTCATACCAGTTTTCTTTTCCTCCTAGCAATCAGAGTCTTCAAAGGCTGCCATCTGTCTGTCTTTATTGCTCTTCACAAGGCAGACAATTACTTCCACATGTGTGTTTAAACTTTCTCTAGGAGTACTCCAAGTTCATGTATCATCATGTTCTGGGGGTCACATGTTCTTGTTGATCATCATCTTGGTATGCCATTGGTATTCTGATAAACTTCCATTGGAATTTGGATTTTTTCCCTGACATATAATCTTCTTCTACACCCTGACTATAGACTTATAAGCTGTTACTTCTAAATGTTATGTGTCCTAGCTTCTTTATGAAATGTTGTTAAGTCTGTGTCCTCAGATTTATTAACTATGTGGTTCTCTGAAATTATTCTCCTCATGGCATCTTCTGTTGGAGTCTTCTTTGTGTTCTTGGGTTGATCAGCAGAGATCCTGACTTATAATTCCCCATGTCTTTTAGGTACTTTTGACATCTCTATTGAAACTGAAGCAGAACTATATTTATGTTTATCCTAACAAGATACCAGTAGCACCACAATAAAATTCTTTAATGTCATCACAAGTATCTGCACTGCAAATATCTTACATTCTCTTAGAATGTCTTCATATTAAACATGACAAGACGAAAGATGGCTACTGTTTTTCCGATTTTAGATAATGCAATCACTGCACACTGCATGAAACAATGAACTTTCAGGAGTTTGCTACTTTGTTCTCATGATCATCATGGAAACTTGTGCTGTTATCACTGTTAGGGCTGACACTGGCAGAGATGGTGCTCTTGCTGTCACTTTTGCTCAGGCCTTCTATTTAAGGTAGAGGAGAAATGTGAAAGGGTGCCCCAGAAAGCCCTAGAAAAACGGAGACAAACAATTGTGTCTTATATATTGCTTCTGTCTTATTCTATCTTCTATTTCTCGGACTCCAATAAGCACATGTACTTTCTTTTCTGTTCCTGACTCCTCTCTATTTTTACCTTTTTGTACATTTGTGCTTCATGATATATAGTTTCCTCTGATTTATTTATTCATATTGAATTGTATCTTTAACCATGTCTAATTTGCTGCCACACCACCAAAGAGCTATGAATTATGTTTCTCAATTTCTTCCTTTTTTGTTCTCATAGTTCTTTTATGTAGAATTTCATGAAAATTATGATCTTTGCTATGACCCAGAATTCAATAATTTCTCAATTGCCACTTACACACACACACACACATACACACACACACACACACACACACACACACACACACACACACAGTGTATGAAACAAGACATGTAATTATTATCTTTGAGTCTGGTTTATTTTAATTAGGTTACACAAAATTGAAAGAATAATTAAATTATAACTCATGTAATGCAATGGAATGCTTTCCTTATGAAGCTAGGTAAGGTAAAGATATTTATATTAACATCATGTTGATAGGTTTTCAAAGTCTTCAATCTGTGGAGCCCCCTTTTCATGGAATAGGAAACTAAGGTATATGATTGTGTGCTGTACTGGGATATGGTAAGGATGATCCCTATGTGAAAAGCAGTTCTCTCCAGCTGAAGCATTTTAAGGTTGCTGTTATGTTTTTTACACATTTTGGTATTATATTAACTAATAAAAGGGTTTTATTTATTTTAAAAGCTAGAAAAGGGATACACTTTGTGAACAGTAGCTATTTTTTTTCTCTTGGGAAGAAAATACCAAACACAGAGATGCTGATATAAACAAGCTATATTATATAATACTGTTTATTAAGAAAATCTTACTGTACTTGTCTTCTCATCAAAGGAATGTATGAGACTTAATGAGCTTCTTTTGTTATCATGAGCTGGTAAAGGAGTAACTTTCATTGGGCTTGTCCAACCTGAAAACCAAAAATTCATGCATTTTAGATAAAAAACACAGTGATAATTTTTCTTCCATTAGAAACTTTTAGTTCATGTGCATTAAAGTGTAACAAGGCTTCTGGAAATTGTAGGTTTAGTTTGATGCTTCCAAAATTGCATAAAATTCATGCTAAGATTACAAATTAAAAATTTGGGTCATAATTGCCAATGGTACTGGACTCAATTTAGTGCTCTGAACTAGTTGGTCATTTTTTCAATTCCCACATGTGCTGTGTGCATCAAAGGAAACAAAAAGTATGTATGCTGACCAAACTTTACAAGCTTTAAATTGTGTTAGAGCAAAGATCTAGAATCTAAGCATGTTACATGGACTCTGTGGACATTTGCATCTATAGTAAAACCAATGTCCACTTTGAGCGGCGGCCATTGTAGCCACAGAAGGTACAAACCACAGCTTAGAGTGTGAGCCAGGCAGAATATCTGACCCAAGACCGTTTCTCTAGCCATAGTATGCTTCATTAAACCTGAAGTAAATAATAGTGATTAATTTACCCCACAGATAGGATATGTGGGTCCTTGGTGAAATACTCTGCTTAAAAAAAATCTTGGAAACAAACTTTCACGTTCCTTTATAAAGCTTATTTGGTATAGTGGAGCCATTTCTAACCCTTCTCTGGGAATAATTCTTTGAAGTGTACTGTAGGCAAACCATTTTAACACCTGGCTGGTACCATTTGGCTTTCTTCTCCGGTCTGCTATGGATCCTCCTCATTTTAAATGCCATGCAGTAGATAGTAATGTTAGGAACGTTCATGGTTTGAATTTACGAAAAGGCTACTTGCCTGTGGCCTTGTGGGCCCTAGGTCAGACCCGAGCTACCCTCAGCCGGTTGTGGTGGAGCACACTGGTTGGACTTACTGAAGGAGGCAGAGGCGGGAGGATCCCGAGTTTGAGGCCAGCCTAGGAGGCTTCCTAAGGAGAAGCTTCAGCCGGGGCCTAGCCACAAACATTTTCAGTGGGGACCATGGAGGCAGCGGCTGCCGCTCCAAATTGCTGGCTCCTTCTCATCATGTTGGTGACTGCGGTGATGCTGCTACCTGGGATGAAGAGTTTACTGCTGCTTGTTCAGAAACGAATTGCCAGGACCATCGTGTTACAAGAAAGCATCGGCAAAGGTCAGTTTGGAAAAGTTTGGCAAGACAAATGGTGGGGAGAAATTGCTGTGAAGATTTTCTCTTCTAGGGAAGAATGTTCATGGTTCCAAAAGACAGACATTTATCAGACTGTGATTGCTCCAAACCACAGAGGAGGCAAAAAAAAAAAAAAAAAATCTGCAGGGAACCATGACCACACACGCCTAACAGTGACTTTGAAAACTTCAAAAGGAAGACGGGACTCCACAAAGATAATTCCACATGGACTATGATAAAAACATTAAGCTGATTAACACCACCAAAAGATTGACTTTGGACTACAAACTGTTCAGGACAGTTTTGAGATGACTAGCTGAGATGATCCAGCCTGACAGATTACTAGAGCAAGGACTTGTGACAAGCCCTGAACTTTCTTTTTATGCAGAGACTGGACAAATGATACAGGACTTGACAATTAACCCAAAAATTTTCTTTTCAAGATTCCCTAAAGATATCTTCACCCCTAGAAAGCAAAAAGAAAAAGAGAATATAGGTATGAGATAGATCATCGAATCTACTCTGAGAAAAAAGATAAAGAAATAATAGGATAAATGGGTAGATCACTGAATCTACACTGAAAAGAAAAAGGGGAAGATATAAAAATGACAAAAGGTAGATTATTGAAACTTTTATGAAAATATGAATATGGTAAGATAAAAAGGTCAATTTTTGAATCTACTTTTAAAAAGGAACTACTTGTTTTAAATACGATAAGTAATGAAAATTTTTTGTCTGAGTTTATCAAATGTTACTGGACTGGGCATTGTTAATATATATAATGAAGTTTTTTGTCTGAATTTGTCAAATGTTAATGGACTAGATATTGTTAATGTAATTTTGACTATATATTGTATATACTTATTGGATATAATTTTTCTTGTACTAGTTATAAGCTTTTTTTTAAATTTTAGACAAAAGGAGAAATGTGGTGGTATTGTGTTCCCTAAAATATTGTGCATGCTAATAAATTTATCTGGGGTAAGAGAACAGGACAGCCACAATATTAAACATAGAGGATAGGCAGTGGTAGGACACGCCTTTAATTCTAGCATTCCAGAGGCAGAAATCCACGTGTTCAAGGATACAGCCAAGCATGGTGACTCACGCCTTTAATCCCAGGGAGTGGTGGTAGAAAGCAGGACGGTATATAAGGCATGAGGACCAGGAACTAGAAGCATTTGGCTGGTTAAGCATTTGGCTGGTTAAGCTTTTAGGTTTTGAGCAGCACAGTTCAGCTGAGAGCCATTCGGATATGAGGACACAGAGGCTTTCAGTCTGAGGAAACAAGATCAGCTGAGAAGTTGGCCAGGTGAGGTTAGCTGTGGCTTGTTCTGTCTCTCTGATCTTCCAGTGTTCACCCCAATAACTGGCCTCAGGTTTGATTTAATTAATAAGACCTTTTAAGATTCCTGCTACATCAAAGCTTCTATGTAACCGCTTCATGCAGTTTAGAGAAGCATACTCTAATTCATACATCGTTACCAGCCTTTCTTAGGTTAATTTGCGGTTGCTTAAACTGTGACTTCTTTGTCTTTAACGGACTTCTGTATTTTCCATGTTTTTTTGCTTACAGCTTTGTCAATTGCACAGATCTGTCTAAACATTTGTCTTAGGGTTTTTTGTTTGTTTGTTTGCTTTTTGAGACACGGTTTCTCTATGTAGTTTTGGTTCCTGTCCTGGATCTTGCTCTGTAGACCAGGCTGACCTCCAACTCACAGAGATCCGCCTGGCTCTGCCTCCCAGTGCTAGGATTAAAGGCGTGTGCCACCACCGCCCGGCATTGTCTTAGGGTTTTTATTGCTATGAAGAGACACCATGACCACAGCAACTCTTATAAGGAAAACATTTAATTGGGGTGGCTTGCTTACAGTTTCAGAGGTTCAGTCTATTATCCATCATGGCAGGGAGCATGGCAGCATGCAGACAGACATGGTGCAGCTCCATCTTGATAAGAAGGCAACAGGAAGTGAACTCAGACATTGGGCAGTATCTTGAGCATAGGAAAACTCAAAGTTTGCCCCCACAGTGACACACTTCCTCCAAAAAGGCCATACCTACTCCATCAAAACCCCATCTTCTAATAGTGTCACTCCCTATGAACTAATGGGGGCAATTACATTCAAACTATCTCAACATTTATACTTGAAAATAACAGTCTTTAAGGTTCATATTAGACACAAATCTAGATGTACTGTCTTGCTCATGAGCTTGAATTCAGATCTGGCCCTGTCAACTGGACAATGGCCACACCTGGAAGTACTTTCTGCCTCCAAATCTTCATTGATTTAGATAACTTCTGTAGATAAAACAGTGAAAGGTCTGAAAGCTCCAACCTTCAAGTCTCTTTTCTGCCTTCACTCTGGCCCTTTGTCTTGTTCTCTCCTTTTTGTAATTGAGGTTTCGCCAGCTCAAACTTCTGAACCCAATTCCCTAAACTCTCTTTCAGTTGCCAATCTGGCTGAATCCCCCTCCACCCTCCAGCCCCCATCAAAAGCAGAACATACTGTGATAGCAAATTTTTCTAGGCCATTTAGGCTGACATCCTGCCTTTGGATAGGATCTGGCCTTTCCACTACTGACTCACATGTTTGTCCTGGGTGGTCAGGCTGTCCTTCTGACTCTGTGACTGGGATAAAGAGAGCACCACAGCTCAGTCTTTACCCCATCCTGGAACTGGATTGGGGATGTTCCTTAGGAAGTCACTCTTCTGCTGCTCTAAAGACACCTCCTAACTACTCTATCAGCTGCTTATGGACTCAGATTCCTTGAGCTGCGACCATGAGATTCCTTCCCCTTTTCTTTATTTAGATATTTGGGGCCAACTTGACAGGTACCACCCTCTCCTATATCCACACTAATCTACCTAACTAGTGTATTTCTAAAGAAAAAGGTATAACAATTCACATTTGATCTTCAAAATGGTGGATTCCACAGGGACTCATGCCACAATGGAGAATGGGCTCACTTTACCATGTGGCTGACTTCACTTCAGCAGAAAACAACAACCATGGTTTGCTGCCATCTTAGCTAGGGAGTTCATCAAGACGGAAGCAACCAAGTGTCTGGGCTTCCATCTTTGCTAATGATATCACAAAGGCAAATTTCATGTGACTTCACCACCATTTTGGTTAAACATCACATGACACAAACCAAAATGGTGGCACCCATAAAACTTCATTGTCCCAGTGAATCCATTAGGAATCAGCACACCCCTTTTATATTAGACTAAGGAGAAAACATCAAACATCTAAAATGGTAATTTTATAATTTTAATATTTTGGTTTGTTTTAATTTTGATGGTTTTTACACAATACAGTTATTGGCTTCTGAGGTGAATCTAAATTTTTTTTCCTCACCACCTGCTTCCAATGCTGGCATACTAACAGAGGGAGCTAACGCTCTTGAGGTTCACAGGTCCCAACAGAGACTCGGAGGATAAACGGCCAAGTACTAGACAAGCTGCTGCCAGTGAGGAGCCGCTGCAGCAGGCTCTGCCAGGTCGCACTGTCGGCTCTTTTTGTCTGATATCTTCAGGCCCGTGTTCCTCTAACTTCAATAAAACATTCCCCTCAATACTCCACTGACACGTGTATGCTTTTGTTTCTGCCTGATCTAACAATATCTTTTAAGTTTTCCTTGCACAATGAAAATTATAAAACCATAATCCCAACAAACAGTAATGTTCAAAATATTGGTTTGTCAAAGCATATTTCCTTTTATGTCCATATAAATTGCCCATATGTGATTGTGATATTTTTAACATCATGTATTTAGTAACAAATTGACTTATAAGTAAATGCTCCTATAAACTAAAGTTGTTGACT